TATTTGTTTTAATTTCTAAGTTTGTGTCTCTCTCTTTGTCATTAAATCTAAATATTATAACGACAAAAATTAATAAAATTCATTTTTTTTTTAAATAATAAAAAGAAATAGAGCTACGAGGCTAAGTATTCGTTAAATAGTAATATTGATGGTAAAATAATTATGTCATTATGTTAAAAATAAATAAAATTTAATATAAACATAAAAATATAAAATTAATAAAAACAAACGTTTCGACCTTTGTTAGGTCATTATCAATGTTTAAAAAGTCGCGAAAAATCGTTAACAATATACGGATATTATAACATTATAAAACATAAATTATGTATAAAATTAAAAATATAAAAATATATATATATATAATGTAAATTGTATATTTTTATATTTAAATAAGTCTCACTCGCATTGAAACTCATTTCGGAACGTCAGCAAAAGTCCACAAAATTAGCGCAAATCGTCCATTATTATATATCATGGTTAATGAAATATTTCTATCGAAAACACATCAGAAATGTAATAAAAGTAAAAAAATATAAAAATAGAAAAGATATAATAATACAATGTATAAAGAAATATTAAAATCGTAGAAGTAATCTAATACAACATTAGTAATAAATGCAAATAGTGCAAAGAGAGTTACATTTCAAGGCAATAAATTAAAACAAATATAATGTAAAAATAATAATTATTGTACATTATATTAATAATGTTAATTTAGTGTTAATTAAATTAAAAAACAATAAATTACCTTATAAAATTGTATCGAAGTACAATTATAATCAATTTGTCATTAGAATAATGCGAGGAGAGTCAATTAAAGATGTTTCAACTAGGTATTTTAAAATTAGAATAACAGACATCTCAAGTACAAAAGAACTAAACAGTTAGAAATAGGGGAAAAAATATGGAAAGGGTAAATATGTAAAGAGGAAGGGATAAAAAGTAAGAAGTAAGGAAATTTAAGAAGGAGAAAGAATTAATAATAGGAGTATAAGTTTCTGGCAAAGATTCAGTATCATTCTGTTTATTAAGACCTTGTTTCTGTCTTTTAATGTGGATCATTTCAGACACCAATCTCTTATTGTATGAAGATTCAATGTCTAAAATTTGAACATCATTCTATTTAAAGTTATGACCAAAATTAATACGATGATCAGTAATAATAGAAGGAGAACCTGTCCTTTTTCTAATGTCAGATATATGTTCTTTTAATCTGGTACTCAATTTTCTTTTAGTTTGACCAACATAGCTGGCTTCACAGTCATCGCAAGAAATCTTATAAATTACATTATTATTAGAACAATGTTCCAATTTATCTTTACCTCTTTTTATGAAACTTTTTAAAGTATTGGCAATAGAATAGGCTAATTTACATTGGAACATACCGGAAATGGGACGGAAACTTTCGGAAATCGATTTAACGGAAGGAATTGTGAAATATTTATTTTTGACATGAAAATTATGTATATTATGTTTATTGTGAATATGATATTTTATTCTTTGTTCTATGGTAGAAAAAATGAACGAAAGAGAATAGGAATTGTTTAAAAAGATTTTTTATGGCTTCAATCAAATTATTTTGTTGGAACCGAGGATGTGAAATATGGAAAATTTTGTCAATAAAACTGATAATAATACCTTTTTTGTGATTAATAGGATGGTTTGAGTGGAAATTAAGGAACCTGCCTGAGAATGTCTTTTTATGAAAATTGTCAAATACAATTCTACAATTGTCAATAATAAGAGTAGTGTCAAGAAAATTTAATCTGTTATCACTGCCAATCTCCATAGTAAACTGTAATTTTACATGTATAGAATTAAAGATATTAAGTGTATCATTAATATTGTCAGAAGGAATTGCCAGAACAATATCATCAACATATCTGTAATAGAACAGTGGTTGTACCGATAAACAATTAATTGCAAATTCTTCCAAATCCTGCATTACGATGTCTGCTAAAATTGGTGATAGCGGTGAACCCATTGGAGTACCAAAAACTTGTTTGTAATATTGATTATTGAAAGTGAAAAAAGTAGAATTTAAGACAAGGTTAATTGCGATATGAAATTTATTTTTAGAAATCTTTGTGCCTAATGAAATATGAGCCCATCTCTTTTCAATGGCATCTGTGACAAGATTGAATGGAATATTAGTAAAAAGGGAAACGACATCCAAAGAAGTCAATACATATTGAGAGTCAAAGTGAGTACCACTTAGTTTATCAACTAAGTGGAAACTATCTTTGATGTGGCTAGGAGCTAGTGGTATGTTATTATTAATTATGTTATGTAAGAAAAGGGAAAGGTAATACAAAAGACTGTTAATAGAAGAAACAGTAACTCTCAGTGGGTTACCATCTTTATGGATTTTAGTCAAGCCATAAGCTCTCGGTATAATACCATCAGTTGTGAATAATTCCCGGTATGTTTGTTCATCAATACAACCAGCAGCGCTCTTCCATCTAACAAGTAATGTACGCAAATTTTGAGTTAACATTTTAGTTGGATCTTTATTAATAATTTCATACGTATTAGTATCTGACAGAATCTCCTCCATCTTTGATATATAAGTGTCTTTTTCTAGTATAACAGTGACATTGCCTTTGTCAGCATTGGTTATAAGAATGTTTGGATAATCTTTAATGAATTTTTTAGTAAGGTGTAACCATTCTAGAATATTTTTATCAATGAAACTAGGAGAGGGAAAATTATTATGGAACCTATTAAGGATGGGAATGGAATTATTTCTGACAAAATTAATAATGTTATTCGGACGACCAGTAATATTGCTTTCAATATGTTTAATCAATTCCACTATAGTTTTTTCCTTATTATCGTTATTAATAGGAAGACCGAATTTTTCACCCAACTGTAACAAACATTGCACTTTCAAGGGAACATCAGTGTTACTTAAATTAATAAACCACTTACTTTGTGGTGTGTTAAGAGGAAGTGACTCTGTAAAATTTCTTGGATTGATATGAATTTCTTCTGAATCAATATTAATAAAAAACAGTTAGAAACAGTAATCAGTTAGAAACTGTAACTAGAAACTCTAACTACAGAAACTCTAAGAAACTCTAGAAACTCTAACTCTTAGAAACTCTAACTACAGTTAGAAACTGTAATCTGATTTTTATTTTTAGTGTCATTTGGAATATTAGATACTGAGCAAAAATAAGAAATAGGTTTTATTTTTGACTTTAATGACATAGATCTTTTTTTGTTTAACCAATCAATTTTTTTGTGGATTCTATGCATTTGTTTGAAAAAATAAGTATTATTAAAATAATCCAAGTATTTGAAAAATTCATTTTGTATTCGAAATGGCAGTAATACAGAAACTGTATTTGACAAATTACAAATGTCAATTCTAATTTTGTGTAAGTGGCAATATGCATCTTTCAACTCTAATCGCATAATAATCTTTACATAGTTGAATTGATGTTTTTTAAGTCGATTATACGAAGAATTGTTGTACAGAGAAAAGTTGTTAAAATTTATTAAATGTTGCAAATGTGGAGGAATCACTTGATATTTTAAACAGGAATTAATGAATTTAATACGGACCCTAATGTTAACGCTCAATCTAATCAAATTACATAATTTCTTTAAACAGTTACAAGTATCAATACCAAACACATGTCTAATGTAAGAAAAAGTAAAATAAAACATTGTGATAATATAAAACGCATAATTTCGCCCGCGTGAATTAATATATAATTATAATAAGGCTCAATAAATTTAAAAAATAATCAAAAGAAACAGAGCTACGATCCTAAGTATTCGTTAAATAGTAATATTGATGGTAAAATAATTATGTCATTGTGTTAAAAATAAATAAAATTCATTTTTTTAATTAAAATCTTGTGTCGGTTATAGCTAAGGGATAACAATTGCTTATTAGAACTTTCTTTAGTATGAACTTTCTTTATATTTTGTTTGAATACCTTCCCGAGTGGGAATTGAATGCCGGCTAGATGCTGGCCCGGTGCCAACTTTTGGTATTCAATGCCGACGTGACATCGTATGTCGGTATTGGTATGTCAGTATTGTACTGGTGTATTACTAGGATGATAGCAACGGGCTCGAAATGTAGTACCATTATGGTACGGTATTACAATACGGGATTACAGTATCACAACAATACCGAAAATCAGTACACATATTGTACCAAAAATGGCTACCGAATCATAATGCTGCAACAGTACTTAACATTACTAGTACTGATTCTTAATATTATAACACACAGAGTACTAGTTTTGTATTAAAAAAATCCGTACTACTTCTCTGTATTGTAAGAGTAGCAAATATCAATACTCTCTCTCTCTAATATTCAATACTATAACAGTATTAAATAATATGAAGCCAAAAAATCCTAATGCTGGTATGCGATATCGCGCCGGTGTTTAATATCGGGATTTAATGCTGGGCCGGTATTTCGCCAGTGTTTAATTCTTACTTGGGAATTCATATTCGAAACATAAACAGGCATTTAACAGTGCATTTAACATTTTTTATTTTAACATTTTTTAAAATAATTTTTAAATATTATTTTTATCTGCACTTTCTCTTTCTTTTCTGCCACGGCACCGATCAATTGCTCCCGAGAACCAACGGCTCATTGATGAATTTATGTGCTTTTCTTCCCGCATTCCAAATTTGCTTATCAGAACATCTGTCAAATAATTTTCATTTATTTTTATGTTATAAGATATAATTAACAAATTAAATATTAACTCTCATATAGGACCGTTCTTGTGAGAACACAATCATTAAGAAATATGATTTAGTCTATAAAATAAATTTTATAGGTCGAAGCTAGATCTTTGTTAAATAATGCAGTACGCCGCGCGTAAAAAAAAAAACTTTCTTTCGTCCTCTCTACGCGCGGCAAGAAAATGACAGATTGCTATCGTTTCCACACCATCTTGCGGTAGATAGCATGGTGCGTTTTTTTAATAGTTGTTTCTCCAATATACCTGATCCACTCTCATGCTTTAGTGCAAAAATTGTTCAAAGTGCCGTCCTTCCTCTCGTATGCAGAGTTCGGCCCTTGGAACAGTGCTACGCGTTGCACGGTGCTCCATTTCCAGTGTAATGGTCTCGAAGGCTGCAATGATAGCTTCACGAACCTCGTTTTCTGTATCACTATGCCGAGGCTCGACTAATTCTTTAATATAGCCCCAAACAAAAAAGTCGAGAACATTCATATCTGGCGACCGTGGTGGCCAGGCGATAGGACCTCCCCGACCTAACCATGTATCTATCGCGATATAACGCGCGTTCAAAATATCGCGAACATCTCGATGAAAATGCGCAGGAGCTCCATTGTGTTGGTATATCATCTGTGCTCACACGTAAAGGGGCACATCCGTAAGAAGCACAGGCAATTCGTTTCACAAGAAATCCGCGCAAATCTCGCCATTTAAACGCGGCGGGAGGAAAAACCGATCTGAAAATTATTGTCGTAAATATTTATATTTTGCAGTGGAAAAGAAAATTATTTAATTAATGCGATTAATATTTACCACTTGGTTTGCGATCATTACTGCCCAGCACGTTCTCTCATCCGACATACAATTATTTATGAACAATAGGCACGTTCTCATATTTATCAACGATACAAACTGTGCGAGGATCAGCACATTTATATAATTTTAAATGCGTCTATAATTTTCCTATAAATTTTTTTTTTTTTCTGTGTTTGATGCCGCCAAATCATCACTGCACTACAATCGACACGCTACGTACAACAGACAAAAGTGTTTATATTTATCATTAGGAAAAACGTAACAGTACTAACACACCGCCATATAAAATAAAGAAACGGAATTGCGTGGTTTTCCAATTTTTTTAAATCATCAATATCTAAAAGTTTTCTTTGAGGAATTTGATCAGAAAAATTGCAGAGTAAATTACGTAGTAATAAACGATTGCGTGGACCAATTCCACCAGTTCTAGGACCACCAAATACAATATTATTTAAGAAATCTTTTTTAACTCCAAGAAATAAAAGATGCATTAAATTGAGAACAACTGATTTTACTGGATCGAATTCTGGAATTCTTAATAAGGGAGAGATTTCATTATCAAGATGATGCTCAGATTATCTACGTGCTTCAAGATTGCTTATTACGTTCTTCACAATTAACTTTTGTATATAATGTGTTTATTTTTATCTGCAACTGTTTGACCCTTTATGTGCAACGTTCACATGCATAAAATACTATGTGAAATTTTACACATTTAATAAATGCCCTTGCTGGTGTATTATATACAAAATTTAATAATTTGATATATGCTTTATTTGTATCTTATGTAATTTTAATGGCTATTAAGTTAAAAAATTCTATTATAAATTCATCTAAAAATTCCATTGGAGATTTTGGTTTAGATTCACCATGATATATAGCTACAACCTGCGGCTGAACAACATATTTTTTATTATCATTATTAATATTATCATTATTAATCAATCAATATAAAATAGGGCTACGAGCCAAATATTAGTTAAATTACAAAGGTCTTAGCAATAAACAGTCATTAGTTAAAAATAAATATAAAATTTAATAAAATTCAAAAACAAACGTTTCAACCTTCATTAGGTCATTTTCAATGTTAAAAAACGCAAAATCGTTAACGATGTACAAACTATTATATTATAAAATTAAAAACGCAAAATAAATATGTATATAAATATAAAAATTGTTTAATATAAAAGTTCGATCTCACTCGCATCATTAAGTTCATAATAATATCGTGTACACCAGCGAGAGTCCAACAAGCAAAGCAATCGTCCAATAATATAGTTTATGGACTACTCCACATTTCTAAATCAAATCGTAAAATACAGTATCAGTAAAAATGAATATAATATAAGAGTCAATTATAAATCAGTAAAGAGAGTCAATTCTCAAGGTAATAAATTGATGAATATAATGTAAAATTACAACATATTGTACGTACATCATATCTATATAGTTAATTATCATTATTAATATAGGCCAAAATTGTTGCTATGAATTTTTATAAATTTGTACACCACTCTAGCGAATCCAAATCCCAGAAAAATTCTCCCGGCAAACGCGATCATCTTGTCGCTACCGAAATGCATCAGCAAACGGTGCACCTTCTCTATTATCCACCAAGTTAGGTTCCTTGGAATTGGTATCCGGTCTCCGTCTCCCTCACTGTCTCTTACTCTGTAGAGTCCATCTCTTTCGTAGACAATCTCTGGTCTCTGTTCCGCTTCTCGCATCGGTTCAGTATCTATGTTAATTTAAAATTTCAATCTTTTATTGTATGTTCCGGAATAGGATAAGTTTCGCGCCACAAAGCCGAATAAAGGATCGATTGCGCCATCCATCGATTCCGTCCGTGAATCTTTCGTCGCACTCACCGCGCCGTCTTGCGAATATCATTACTACAATTTAGCCGCATATTTGGATACCGATGTCGCTGTCGTCCTGCCGATTCGTCGCGCTAATCGCGCAGCGCGATTCTACCCTCAGACACAAATCAGTACTTGCCGTGTCAAGTCGTGCTCTCAAATTACTCGTCGAAAGCAGCAGCTTTCTTTCTACGGGTTCGCTACCGCGACTCGTTACTTTTGTACTACTCATCACGGCTACCGTCGTGGATGAGTCTCGGCGTATTAACAGCAGTTAATCGCTTCTCTCGCCGTGCCACGCGAATAACACTGCGTTTATTTATGGTGAATAAAACTTGCATACAACAAGTTAAAAGAAGTGCTCAGTGTTCTCAATCGTCCAGTCCACCAATCCATTCCGTCATTTGAGATCTCAGTCGAGATCGAAGCAGCGATTTCACACACACAAAGAACATTATTAATACTAAAATACAAAATATAAAATACTTTTATATACTTCCATAAAATATAAAATGTAGAATATTTTTATGTACACCGCTGTTCGATAGCTCAAAAGATATTTTAATTTTTAAGTAGAAAACGAATAAGACTGAATGTAATTATATTTATTTTATTAATATAAGAATCTTAATTAAACAAACAAATTCATATGTAAATAATGTAAGTATGATTAAATAATTTAATGCAAGGTAAACTATTGACTTTATTTAAATGAAACGATAATAGAAACAATCACGATTTCATCATAAGCAGCACAATTCTAAAGGTTACATTTTAACCGTTATAACTTATTTCAGAAAAAAGGTTTACTTACAGATAGCTTTAACTATAAACAATAGATGGCGAAAAGACAAAAGATAATATGATCGATGATATGATAATAAGTTATATTATGAGCTTTTTCTTGAATAACTGATTCCGTTCTCCTTGTTCTGGAATTCCTTCAATAGAATTAAGAATTGTCGATATGATAATCTTCGTCCTGTCCGGAAGGCTCAAAATTTCATAGATTTCTCTAACGTTTGATAAAGAATAGACTAGAAGCCTCACTCGGACTTCTAAGCCGCTTAATAAATAGGCTGACAGCCTCACATGGATAAAATCCAAAGAAATAAGGCTACAAAACCTCACCCGAGCTATTAGCTCCTTTCTCAGTTTTTCTACAGAACTGAACTTTCACAAAACTGATTTTATTTACCGCGCGGTTTCAATATCTCAGTATAGGCCTTTTCTTTCACGATCGTTATAACAAAAAAACACCTTAGCAACGAACAATTGTTTTTTCGTAACTAAGCGCGCTTGATGATAGCGTCGAACACGTCTTGACCATTAACTGGCCAACTCTTGATCAACCCTAACATAGTGTTACCAACGACTGGCAGCTTCCTTTTTAAACAACCGCTAAAATACAAAATATACGACACAATCGCGCCCGTCTCGCGCTATAAACAACTGTAAGCGACAACTCGCTTCTCATAGTTTTTAAGTTGGCAATGCGCTCGTTACCAGACTCCCTACCACAGCGTGGCGCTGTGCTATGGAGAAGAGACCCTGTGATTGGTCGACAGTAATTCTAAGTTCAAGAATACGTTAAGAAGTCGCGTCCTAGACGCTCTGCAATAAAGTGTGTTTTTAACTAACGTGTGTTTCATCCTAGATCTTTCAAGCTATTCCTGACATCTTTCCATCGTTTCCTTAACCGGTTACGTTTCTATTTCTACCCCTCGATTAACCTTGTCGAAACCTTACACAACTAATATACACTTGTTACTCAATGTACTATTATATTATTTAAATCAATACCGACTGTCCACAAAATTCACAAAGATAACGTTTTTTGGTTTTATGATTGTTTTCGTGTATAGAGAGTAGCAATTTATTCGTAAATCTTTTTCCACATATTTTGTATTTGTGTCTTGTGACCGAACAAGCCGATCCTCGGCGGTTTCAGTCCTGGTCCTCAGCCTCAGCTGAACGGTCGCCACGTTCTTTTACCCTCCAAGAACGAAGGATCTTAATTCGATGTTCAATGGTAATTAAATAACACTTTCAATTATGTAACAAAACAATCATTTATTCAACAAATATCTAGTCAATGCAAATACAAATTCGATACGGTTAATCATTCACCCCTACAAGCTTCTACTTTCGTAGTTCAAAGAGGACTCTCCTTTCCCCCTTTCGCTTGCCTCTATTTATACCCTCTCTCGACGCATGCGCCGTTCATGCTTTTTCCGACGCGTGGGGAGAGCTTGTTCGTTATGGGAAAGTTTATTTCTATGGTACCCCATGGTCTAAACGCATCGCGCTTGAGCGAGCCTCAAGTTTGCTGAGACCCTGTGGTAGATTTCAATTTTCATTGAAATCGCGTGGTGGAAAAAGATTCCACAAACAAAACCTTTATATCTATGGGACCCCTTGCCCCCCCATTGTCCTAACGCGTCGCGCTTGAGCGAGCCTCAAGTTTATGGAAATCCTGTGGTGGATTCCAAGTTTCATCGAAATTGCGTGGTGGAACGAGGTTCCACAAACGAAAAACAAAAACATTCTCTTTTACCTGATTTTCAATAAAATTTTAACGTAAAATAAGCGTAACCTCTTGGATTCAATAATAAACAAAATAATAATTATTTTATTATGCCGATAATAACGGCGATCTTAATGCTAATTATTGCTAACCAAACTTATTAACTAACTAACTTATCCTAACCTTAATATTACAAACGAAATTAACATTACGGATCTTCTTCCAATAATCAAAATAAAATGCCAAAACTAAATTGTCTGACAATCGAGACAGGCTGTGGATGAGGGATCGAGCATGACCCTCATGCCGGTCACAGTCTTTATCTTAGAGCACGTACGTCCATATTATGTAACAGTATCTGCAATATGACTTGAAATTAGCCGAGTTATCCGCATGCAATAAAAGTGCATAATTACTAGAAGTATATA